TGCGGGATCTATGCGGGTAAATAGAAAAATCATGCAAAGAAGTAACCATTGGCCATTGATCCTTCATTGGAATTTCTATAATCTTGAAAATGTTGATGAGTTGTTGAAACTTAGAATCCCTTCCAAATAGAGCATGCCTCCTCACCATTTCAGCGAAGATGCAACAAGTCGGCCATATGTCAATATTGATGGAGTAGTGAATGGATCTAAGGAGAACCTTAAGGGCTCTATACTAGACTATAAATGATCTTGTAAATGTATCTCTTAAGAGGAATAGTGAAAAACTTCGTAGTTGTAGTAGTGAGCAACATCTTGCAAAGCTTAAAAAAGAAGCTTTGAACGAAGGCAGAAGGAAGAAGACAAGGATTGGTACCTGTATAGTGTGAATCAATGAATTTCTTGAGATTAGTGTGAAGGTATTCGAAGACGAGAACAAGGATTGGAGGATGCAACTTTTGATTTGGAATTTTTGGCTTTGTAACAAGAACTAATGAAGGAGTGCAGTGTGAGAAAAGAGTAAGTATTCTTGAAGTTCAAAGTCAATGCATCGTAAAACATGAGGTCAAACGACCCCTATGCACAATTGATAAAATCTTCATCTCACGGAAGGTGCTATGGCTCTGATACCATGATAGAAAACATGGTTTGCAAGAAGAAAAGAAATAAAAACTTGAACATAATATAAAAAAAAATATTGATTACAAAAGGAAACAAATGAGTGATTTACAAGAAGAATAACATAACTTATATAGCCAACTAATTTTCTATTTGACATAACTACAAACTAAATTTTATACTTTTCACAATTTTCACTGTAAGATTTTAGGGTTTACGGTTTATAGATGCAATGTTTTATACGTGAACTATGTTTGCACAAACTGTTATATGCTCAGAAGCCAAAGTAGCTTCATTCGACAAAAATGCGAATTTTATTAATTAATATTTAATTCTCACCAACTAAATATGCATATTGACAAATATAATCCTCACTAGTGATTATTGTCCAAACATCAAAAGTTAGAGACACTTTGTTAGGAATCTTCGACATAATTTTCACAAATTTACTCTTCTCTTTGATATATATTATATGAATATCCAAGAAAATTGTAAGAAAAAAGTTACTATCTTGGAGATCTGATACTACACCGCTACTCAAAACTTTAGAGAATTCATATGGGCAATTCTTCAATATTTTGTTCATTCACAACAAAATATTTTATTTCTACGATAGTAAAAGAAACATGTTTTTTAGGAGAGAATACTATTTCACCAATCGAGGTATTTACAGTGCATTAGGATTCAAATAGTTGACACAATCTCTAATATTTTCATATACAACAAACTTAAAAGAAAAATCATATAGAATAATGACTTGGACAGACATTTTTTTTATGGATCTTTTGATTAATTTTTCTCATACTAGGATTTTCATCTTACACATTTATATTTTAAGTTCACAATAATTTTACAATTAAGAATATGATGACTTAAATGTGAAATTTTATAATTATTTATGATTTTAGAATTTTTACCATGTTTATACTTGTTGTCCAAACCTTTTTCATTACCATAATTACTGTTTTTACCAATTTTTGTAAAAAAATTTCCAAACATTTGACACTTTTCTTTTAGTTATTTGAATTCTTCTAAACCTTAGAAGAGTTTTAAAAACAATATCATTCTTCACATTTACAAGTTTAACTGTAGATTCTATAATAAAATTTTCTAATTTTTATGTATTAAAAAAAGTTCAAAAATAAACAGTAAAGAAATTGTATTTATATACTTGAAAAGTTTATAAACACTAATTACTCAATATCAAGTGAAATATATAATCTTTCATTTTCAATGCAATATATAAAACTTTTTTATATATACCAAAACATTAAAGTAAACATATATTTACCTGCAAAGTTGTTAAACCTGTTGTAGCTTTTCTTTTTTTTTCCTTAAATTTGAGAGAAATCAACTAATTACCTGTTTGCCAAAATATGAAGTCCATGAAGACAAGGAAGAACTGAAAAAGTGCATCCAAAAATTCTCAACTAAAATTGCTGCACGTGCACAATGCATTTGTTATAAATCACTTTTTACTTCTTTTTTACACTTTTTTCTTTTCAATTCTGGGTACATGCATCTTCTTTGCTTTATGTACGTGCTTTTAATTTTTTTTGGCCATTGTCCATGTGTTTTAGCAATGCATTTTCTTTGGTCCATGTAGTGCTTTTCAATTTTGGCTACACGCACTTTCTTGGTTACAGTTTACAGGAGAAGGCCTGCGCCTTCTTCAAATTTTCCTATTCCCATAAGTCCTAACGATAATCCTTATTAAAAATTTGACAAAAAAAAATAAGACTACAGTAAGTGCAACCAATAACAATTTTCAATTTTCATACTAATTTATGGGTAATAGCAATACAGGAAATTGATTATAGTTGAAGACCACTTTATTGCAAGTAGCTTGGACTAAACATTTACTTATCTATTTCATCACCACACAATTGAAATTCCACACCAAATGTACTAAATTTTCATTTCTTGTTTGATTTATTTAGACCATAGGATATAAATATACAGTGGGAATTTTTGGCAGAGAGAGTTGATGGAGAGGATATAAATGCTATGTTCAATGGACACTTCCTGTGTAAAAAAACGCAGACAACAGGCAAAGTTTTGAAAGAGAGAAAAGACTTGACTCAAAAGACAATACCTAAACTAGCTAGAAGTGCATATAATATAGAGGTGTTGATGAGGCCGAAATTAATTTGAGCGATAAATCCCAAGTTGTGGATGGAAACCCAAAATCCAACTATCAGTGTCAAGCTAGTTCTCTCTCCTTCGCACTACGCAACTTCCTTAGCTTGAATATAGCCAACGTGCTAATGACTTATTTTTCATGTCAGTAAACAAAGGGGCACACGTTATTAGATGACTCCATGGTGGACCACTTGGGAAACCATGCGTGAGGACTAAGGAAACCATCAGCTATTGAAATCGTAACAATGCCAATTGTCTGGGATCATATATAAGGAAATTCCTCGTCAATTTGTCTCAAAACAAACTTGGATTATGAATTTGTTTATTTTTCGTCACATAAATTTGCTAGAAACCCCAAATTCAACGCAATTTGACATTAAAAATCAAAACGGAAAATGACAGACATGTTTAATAATAATGCTTCTAAAATATTTGGGCCCAAAGTGTCTGTCATGAAATATTGAGCACATGGGCCTTAACGTTCTTCCTAAGTTAGTCATCTGTTGTATAGCGAAGGTCTATGGCCTTGATAAAAGACAGAAACACGTTTGTAGGTCCATTAATACTGTTGCCAAACCCAGAGGCTGGAAATATATACACACACATAAGTTTAATTGAATTTTAATTAATTTTGAACATGAGATTTGAAGTCCAATTTATTCTAAATATATTTTTTTTAATTTAACTTTTACAGGATTGAACCCTTACGTTGATTCTGACGTCCGTCCTATATTCTGACGTTGATTTTATGTCCGCGTTGTACGAAGAAAAAGGTTGCTTCGACGTAAAAGATATTCCTATGATGGCTAATAATTTCACAATGAGGCCTAACAGGCACACAGAAATTCCTATGAAAGGACAACAGTAACTTTAAGCTTTTGAACATCTTCAAGGCAATGGTCCTTCCCATGTCGTGGGACTTTCTGAGACAGTTTCCTTTCATTTCATTCTCTCCTTTCCTAGTCTTCGTCCACCCTCACTTTCATAGAAATTTCATATTCCTTAACTTTCGCATTGTGTTATTAAAACAAATAATAATAATAATAATAATAATATGTTTTTATCTCGTGTTATCTTTTGAATAGTTTTTATACTATAAATTATTTATTATTTTAAAACGTTAAAAATTGTTTTTTTTAATAATATCTATCATAACTCTAATCCAACAGTTAATCAACTAACTGATATAATTTCAGCGTTTTTAATAGGCATATTTCAATAAAAATGTTCTATTTTATTATAGTAATCGATAAAACTTGTCAATATTAAATAACATGTAAAATGATAGGGAAAGAGTATACTCCAACATATTTATCATGAAAACAAACATTTCAACTCTCAATTTCCAATGGAAGAGTAATAGGGGTGTTTAGAATCAATCTAAATTGTTTCAATTTGTCAAATCTTTTGAAAAAATAATGAAAACCAAATAAATTGTTAGATGAAAAAAGAAAAAGAAAAAGAAATGCATCTTCTTTTACGGTTTGGTTAACCTTAAATTTATAGTTCTAATATACAAAATTGATCCGAATTACAATCATACTAGTTTTATAGTAATTTTATATTCTGTCCTTATATAAATACTAATTTAAAGTACATCTTATTATAATATATATATATATATATATATATATATAAAACATAAAAGTATTATGATTTATAATCTGTATTAAGATTAAGTTGTAATTAGATTCATTATTTTTTAATTAGTCTTTTTTATACTATGTATTTGACATCTTTTTTATTAAACGTTATCCAAAAAATTAATTATTAAAAGAATTTATGTGTAATGGAGAATCTATACATAGTTTAATTAATAAAATTTTACTTATTTACTAATCAATTTATGTCCCTTAAAAATATGACAAAAAAATTTAAAGTTAATTCAATTCAAACTACAAAATATAAGTTCGAATTAGTTCAAATTTTATATTATTTTTAAACTAATCTAAACTAAATTTTATTTATATAATCAGTGCGAATTTTTTTGTCATAGAAGCGATTCAACTTGAACCACAAATACCACTACAGTGCTCCTTTATTGTGGGAATCTAGCAGCAAATGTTGATATTAACTTTCCCCTTATTTTATACTTTAAGCGTTGACGCTTCTAGGTTTTATCTTCTAGGTGAAACTTACGTGAAGGGTCACATTTATTCGTATAAATATGAATCCAAGAACCGAAGCATGCACAATAAGTTGAAATATCAATAAGGGTTACTATTATCTCTGATTTATCATTAATGGAGCAAAAACCTAGCAACATAAATTTGTCTGGATTATCTTTGTATCTTGGAAATCTCCTTTGCGGTATCAGAATTAAAGGTTTCCTTTCAATTTTAATTTTGTGTTTGCAGTGTTTGTGGAATTGGGCCTCTGAAAATTGGAAGAGTTGGGCCAAGCGTAATAATCCAGAGCAAGCAGCGAAGCAGAGTTCGAGGTGCATTGAAGATGGTGTAAGACTGTGCAAAGAAGAAGTGATTGCGGTGATGGAAAAGCTGGGAATTAGTGTTGAAAGAGGAGGGGATGGAATAGAGGACTTTGGTGAAGGAGAAATCAGTGAGATGTTCGAAAATGAGGCAACTGTGGCAGAGTTGGAAGAAGCTTTTCATGTGTTTGATGAAAACAAAGATGGGTTTATTGATGCCACTGAGTTGCGGAGGGTGTTGTGTTGTTTGGGTTTGGAGAAAGACTTTGTGCAGTGTCAGAAAATGATTCATGCGGTTGATCAAAATGGAGATCAATTAATTGACCATGCTGAGTTTGTCCTCTTTATGGAACAGAGTTTTTGTTGAATGAACCCTTTGTTTCTCACATTGCAGGTCAAGTGTTCCAAATTTGAATCCTCCTATCTTATTAATATTATTAAGTAACGTGATATCATCGTATTTAATAACAGGAAAGGATTCAAATCCAAGTTTTTCTTTCTCTTTTCACTCTTGGTGTGACACGAGAACGAATAACTGAACATATTCAAAGAGATTCTACCATTTAGGCAGGTTTTAAATTTTATGTCATCGTTGTAAATTAAGAAAGAAAAAAAAAAAGAGGCTTGAAATATTTCCCTGTATCGAGTTATCAATCGTAATTCTGTAATTTATTCTGTTTTTTAGGTGTAAATCTGTAATTTATTCTAAATTACAACTTATTTTATGTTTTTAATCAATAATCCAATTACCTTACCATTATCCATTTGGTAATGCTCGAAGAAACCAATTAAAATTTATATAATAGCAAATAAATAAAGGTTATTGTGTTTAGTTTTTATTTAATTGTTTTCCTTTCTTCTAAAAGTTATGAGAAAGAAATGCTAATGAATACAGCATATTCAACAAATTATAAACGAAAACTAAGGAAATGTGTATTAAATTAATTTAAAACAGCATGATACAAGGAAAAAGATAAATAGTAACGATGGTTATTTGACCAATCAGTGTATGAATAACCTAGTTGTTACTCTCTTGTAACAGGCGTTTCGTAAGAAATATTATTTATGATATTATAAACCTAACAAATACTAGAAAATTTAGCTTTTAGTTGTAAATTAATTTTGAAATTTCTTACTATTCAAACTAAATGTAGCACTGGCTTAGAGCACTTTAGGCCTCCCAAAATTTTTTTTGTAACACTAGTATGTTTCTAAAAAATTATAAGAAATTAAATTGTATTTAAAATAGTCTAAGTGGCATTTAACTTTTCATTATACTACAAATAACATTTAACGAGTAATAATTTTTAACTAATAAATAATAATATATTTTTTATTTCATTTTTAAAAAAAATAAAATAGTTAAATAGCAAAAGCATTTGGACATTTTTTTTATCTCTTATTTAATTCTTTTTTCTCTCTTACTATTTTCTACTTCTTCTGTTCTTATTAAATTTTACTTCAATTTGACATTTAATAGAATGTCATTAGTCAATACCTACTTGTTTTTTTTCATCTCTTATCATTGTGTCATTATATGTTTCTATTTAGAGTGATAGATTTGAGGACGTTAGCCCAAGATAAAATCGTAAAAGTCAAAAATTTAAAATTGTCATTTGTTGATGCATTTTGTTGGCATGTTCTTCAATTAGGAGATTGATCTCAAAATAAGTTTATTTTTTATTTTATTATTTTATAAATCTCAAAATAATTTGTGTAAGTTCAAAAAAAATATTGAAATTTAAAAATTAAATATAAGCATTCACTAAAGGACATTTTAATTAGATTTTATTGTTTTAACTTAATTTTATTTTATATACTTATATTCAATACTTTATATATTATAATTTTAAATTTTATATAAAAAATATAAATATATCAACTAGAAAATATGAATCAGACTATTCTTTTTTTTTTTTTTCATCCGGTTTAATTTGGATCTAACCCGGGTTACGCACCTGGATGTGGTGGGTGAGTCTACCACCGAAGGATTTTTGCATACACAATGATTAAAGATTCCTGAAGTAATGTCTAAACCCAATGATTCAAGGAAAAACTAAAAGATACTGGAACAAGTAAATACTATTTTTAAATTGTCTCATCAATCCTATTATAAAAAAAAAAACATAGATTCTAAAGTAAAAGAAGCACAGACAAGAAAAGGGGATAGACACCGCTCAATAAATGAAACATGTAAAGGCTTTATTTTCCTTTGAGTTATTTTAGAATTATCCAATTTGAGTTATGGGGTTGCAAATATGCAAATATGAGGAGTTATTCTTTTTTCAGAAAGAAAATAAGAAAAAAAATACTTAAATTATAGTTTAATTGATTTAATGATTTTATAGATCTATTTGACATCATAATTTTATACATAGATAAAATTATGAATTTTCTCGAGCTGTACAAGGGTAAAACTTCTTATACGTTTCTAGGGGAGAGGCTCAAATTCGAGACCTTGCTTAAGTGATAATGAGCTGCTTGCCATTTAGACTAACCTCCACTGATTAGTCGGGTGCTCTTTGAATAAACATAATAATAATAATAATAATAATATAAGTGAAAACAACAATAGAGAAGTAGTTAATGAAGAGGATAATTTTGATTCTCAAACTCATGATAATGAGGAGGAAATTGAAAGACTATATGATTTTACTCCTAAAAATATATATGATCCAAGTTAATGGACGAATATTAGTACAAATTTGAGAGACTTATTAATAGAAAAAGACCCTATTAAAGTTATTGGTATAGATTTTCCAAAGAATAAATACTTTAGACACTTTTTTCATCAAGTTACATTGAAAAATTGTCTAATAGAGAGAAACATGAAAGAAGATGGTTTATTTTGTAAATTTAAATAAAGTCTTTTGTTTTTGTTGCAAATTATTTAATTTTGTTTCTTGTACTAGTAAACGGGCTAACAAAGGTAGTAGATGATACAATTAGAAAAGGTCTTTTTGGTGTTATTATAAATAAATTAAAAAATGTTAGACTTGATATTAATGACCTTAGGAGACAAGGATATGATAATGGGTCTAATATGAAAGGAAAACATAAAAGTATGCAAAAAAGACTTCTAAATATTAATCTTAGATCATTTTATACTTCATGTGGTTGTCATAGTTTAAACTTAGTACTTTGTGATATGACTAATTCTTGTCTTAAATCTACATCTTTTTTTGGTATGTTACAACGTATATATACTTTATTTTCTTCTTCTACGAAAAGGTAAAAATTTTACAAGATCACATACATAGCTTAACTCTTAAATTGTTGTCACAAACACATTGAGAAAGTTGCATTGAAAGTGTAAAACTTGTAAGATTTCAAATTTCACAAATAAGAGATGTTTCATTAAAATTAGCTGAAGTTAGTGATGATCCTAAAATAAAAAGTGAAGTTGATTGTTTTACAAAATACGAGCTTGAAAATTTTGAATTTTGTTAGAAATAACTATTTGGTATGACATTATTTGCAATTAAATCGATTAGTTAAAATTTACAATCAAAGATATGTGCATTGACAAGGCTATGAACAGTTAAAAGGTCTTCTTTCATTTTGTTTTTAAGTTATAGGAAAAATAGATTTAAGAATACATTAACTTCTGTCAAAGAAATTGCTTTTAAAATATATATAAAGTATAAGTTTCATAAAAAAATGTATTATGGTAGAAAGAAACAATATGATAAAGAGAATGAAATTATAAAATCTCCTTAATAATCATTTGGAATTGATTACTTTTTATACATTATTGATAAAACAATTATGCATTTCGAAGTAGATTTAAATAATTTAAAATATATGAAGGTATTTTTTTTTATTTAGTGTTAAAAAATTAAAGTCACTCAATAATATAATTGTGAAAGAAAAATGCCTAAATCTTAAAAAATCTTTGAAACAATTGACATTTTCAATTATATAAAAAAAATAAATTATTTTCCAAATGCATCTATAACTTACAAAATTGTAACACTCTCTTTTTTTATTGCTTAAGATTTTGGAAAATAAAAATTTTGGTACAAGATTTCTCGTTATAGCAAGAAAGAACATTCTGGACTAGCCCTCTGGAGCCCTCTTGCTGTAGTAAGAAGTGAATAAGGATGATCTAACAACATTTTTGCTATAGCGAGGGTAATTCTCTCACTATATAGCTAGAATTATTGTTTGAATGTATATTATATTATATTTTATATATATATATATATATATATATATATATATATATACACATACATGAATTGCCATATGTTTGTGTATTCAAGTATGTGTTGAATGATGGTGGGAATACATGTGTGTGAATGTATATGGATATTGATATTGGGCTGAGATTGGACATGTTTGACTTGTGGTTGATCAAGATTGATTGAGAAGTTGGCTTAGTGTGTACTGCAGAGGCATTCTCGCTGTAGCGAGAAGGCCCTAGGAAAAAGCGTGAAACTGTTGCGCTCTCGCTGCAGCGAGAGAGTAATAGAGAGGTGCATTTTGAGTATAGTCTTGCTGTAGTGAGAGGGTCTCACTGTAGCAAGATTCTACAGAAACTAGAGTCCAATCTCCTCTGAGATTTTCGTTGTAGCGAGAGGGGGTGTTGCTACAGCCAGAATATCTTGCTATAGCGAGAGTGTTACGACCAGAAAGGTATTTGAAGGGTTTAGGATTTAAGAAAGTTATTTTCCACTTCTCCCTTTGAGCCCTCTCTCTATTCTCTCGATTCCTAACCCATTTTTATCGTTTAAATTGTCTTCAAAGCCGTTTGAGAGCTAGATTGAAGGTTGTAATGACATTTGGAGCATTTAGAGGTAAGTGTGAAAGTTAGGGTTTATGTTTTTCCATCCTTTCTCAGTTCCTTTCAATTTCTCATGGATTTCCTCCATGTATTTAGGCTGAGATACTGTGTCGGAGACGTTTTCTACCTTTAGATTAGATTGGACCTTTGATTAGAGGTAAGGGGAGACTCTACCCTATCTCGTTCTACTTAGAAATTGTTTATTGTGTTAGGTATTGTAACGTGATTAGAATAAAATATGGGATGATGTGTATTTGATGAGAATGCTTTGGTTGTGACTGGATTTTGATGGAAATTTGGTGTATAACATAATGTGAATGAATATTGGACGTGTGTGTGATGAAATGTCTTAGTGTAATGTGATTGAATGTGGGCATATGTGTCGTATGTGAGTGTGAATACTGTGATGTGACTGAGATGTGGGTGAATGAATGTGATTGTATGCCATTTGGTAATGATGAACAATGTGGAATGGCTGAATATGTGTGAAAATGGCATGTCGATTATGATTGTGACTATGTTTAAATATGTAGAAAGCTATCAATGGTTCAGCGATACACTGGGGGTGAGGAAGAGGGAGG